CCCCTCCCATGCTCAAATCTCATCTCTTGCCGATCTTGCAATAACCCAATTAATTCTTAACAAGCCATAAACCATTGTCTAAACATTATATGCCACCAGACACCAAAGAAGAATACGGTTGCATGACTTAGCAACTCTTTTACAAAGATGGCACCCACTCACCAAGGTCCTCCCCCTTCTAATCAACTTTTCTATTGTCAAAATACATTCTCTACCCGTCTCCCAAGCAAAGAAAGTGATTCTAGGAGTCGTCTTCACCTTCCAAATCTATTTTTCCAGGAAACTCATCTCTCCCACCTCAACGTTACTAACCAAGTGCTTATAAAATGATTTCACTGTGAAAAACTCCATTCTTCTTCAAATGCCATACAAGTTAATCGCTATTATCATTCAATTGAATAGTGGGCCAGAAGTTGGAGCAAAGCTTCGCATTCTTCAACCTCCCAATCATTGAAGTTCCCTTGTCACATTCACGTACCACTACCTTCTACCATTTCCTCCCCATAAGCCTCCTCCACGAACATATTCTTCGCTTGTGCTATCAAAAACTTGAGAAATTTGATTCATAAGGCATCCCCTCCCAATCCAATCATCCTGCCAAAACAGAACCATTGTTTCCTCTCCCGACCTTCCACTTTGTACATTCTTGTACTCTATCACACCTCATCATTATGCTCTTCCATAAACCCGCTCCATATGTTCTACCCACATCACTTGAGGATCCTTCCCCGCCAATGCCTTTGCCCCTCCCCTCCCCTCCCCCCCCACCCTCTCTCAAACTTTCACCATCCCTTTCCACAGATAGTCATCTTCCCTCCAGTATCTCCAAATCCATTTATCATGTATGGCCCTATTTCATATAAACCTCAATCCTAGTCTTCCATCTATTCATACACCCTCTAATAACTTGTCTTTTCTTTCATGTTATTTGTCCCCTTTAATATTTTTATGTATTATTTTTCCAATCATCGACTCCTCTTTCTCCATTTCCCCCTTCCTTCTTGTATACTTACTTCTGCAACATAATTTATAGATGATTGCAATCTCTTTAGTCCCTCATTCTCCCTTCCCTTGTTTTCTTTTCTCTCTTACAACTGACTCATTCCCCTCCTTTTTCTCCCTCTACCTCCTTTTAATTTCTGCAAATAAATCTAATACCTAGTCTTCAATCCCTTCAAAGATGACTCCAAACAACTTGTTAATTCTCTAGATGTTTCTCATTACCCAAACCAAATTGATCTCGTTCTGCTTTTTCTTTGACCTTTCCCTACTCAACACCAACCTGTTCATTTTATATCAGTTCTCTCGAAATTATTGCCCCATAATCCGCCTCCCCAACTAGAACAATCTCCATCCATTTCCCTTTTTCGGATTCAGTCTCCTTTCCCTCTCCGCTTATCAATGCCCCTTCCTCTTTAATTTCCTCCCTCACTTTTTGTGCCAAAACCTCTTTATTCATGTGCCTCCTTCCTCTTCTTCTTCCGACACCACTGCTTCCCTCTCTGCCCTGATCTCTTTCTCTTCTTCCTCCTCCCTCTCCTCCTTTTCCTCTAGACAGAGTGCTCCTTCTCCGATTTTTTCCTTCTCTCTTAAGCCTTCAGAATGGATCAAGTTCCTTATCATGGGCCTCCAGACCAATTTAAGTTTTGGATTCCTTCTCTGTTTTACTTCCTTACTCAGCCCTAATTGCTTTATCCATTTTCCTTTTTCCTCCCACAAATATTTTCTTCTTTTGTTCGGTCCAAGCTCCCCTGTCCTCCTAGGTCTACTAAATTCTGGCCCACCACCTGTTCCTCTTCTCCCCGGATGTCTGTAATTATAATTTGATTGGGGGTAAGAAGAAGCTCAAAAAGCAGCCCTTAGTGAAGAATTCTTTCAAGCTTCCTATAACTGGCAACATCTTTCAAGTTACTGTGTCCATACATAAGTGTGGATTATCCCTGTCAATTTTCCTGAAGTCTGCACTGAGCCAAAAGGCCTAAGTCAAGCGTAGTAGGGGAAATCAATTGCTTTCTAATGTCGCTCAAGTCCCAGTGTTTAACCAAATTTCTCAAAAACAAGAAGCTATATGCTGGAGAAGAATAAGAGATTAGACTTTGGCCAATGGAGCCTTAACCTAGTACTATCCATTCTAAGCCTAGGCCCAATATTAAAGAGGCATGTAGGTTAATGCTAGGAGAACAAAACCAAAACAATAGCATTTGCTAGCGTTACAGCACAACACTTGACAAACAATACAATACAATTTTTTTTTAGATAAGACAAACAATTCAATACAATAATATGGAAGTACTAGACATATTGTATTATCTTTTGTTTAGAGCAATAAAGATGGGACAAAAAATAAGTCAAATCTTTTCTGATTTGTCAAACACCAAGCACAAACAATGTTGAATTTTGAGATAAAGCTAGAGGCCCAGGAACAGGCTCAAGTCCCAGGAAGACCCCTGAGTTCAAGATTGCCCAAGAGACCAAGACTTGTGACCAGCCTGTGAATTGCATCAGGGTTCCGGAACCAGACATGTGTCTTAGCAAAGCACTAGGGTCCAAGACTGTTTGATACTTTATCCATTGGTCTGGTTGGAGGACAATCACAGAATTTTTGTAGATCGATTCTTCTATTTTCAGTTTCTATGAACAATTATAGAAGATCATCTCTAAGATGAAACAATTCCACTGAATTGAGTGTAATTAATGTATGAAAGAATCTAGGATATCAAAAATATTAATGAACCCACCAACTGTTGTGATTCCTGAAGATATCTCTTTTTAACTTCAAGTTAACTTCTAGAATCTATTTCTTAGCTCAAGATCCTTCTTACTAATACTAACTAGAACGACTTTTTTGACCTCCCAATGGGCTAATGCTCATGGTTACTATACAGCTGTTCTTGTTTCTTTGCAACATAGAAATAAGGGACAACATTGTACTAATCATTTTTAGTTTTTAGCTGTTTTAAGCTTTTTGGTTTTAGGGGACTTTAGAAGGATATCTCTTTTTAGATAAAAGAAAAAGTATATTAAGATGAGAATAGAATGGTTATACTTCTGGCTTTAGAAGGATATCTTATCGTCTGTCTTATGTATTTTCTCTCCCCTTTTCTTCAAGAATTTTCCTTCTATCAAAATCAATAAAAAAAAACTAACAGAAAGAAAAGAGACGAGGTCAAAGACCAGAATTATTGCTTCAAATAGTAATTCCTAC